TCACAAAAATAAATTTGATGTCAGGTCAAAGGTCAAGGTCATGTTCTCAATTTTGATTTTTTTTTTCTTCTTTTATGATCTTCTCTGACACTATATATAAAAGAACTAGAGCAAAATATTTGTTTTATTGAGTTGAAGATATGATACATTTGGTCTGAAACAATCCAATGACATCTTATAGGAGTTAATGCCCCTGAAATGTTTTAATTTAAGGTTAATTGACTATAACTTCAACTTGGTACACGATAAAGCCATATAGTCTTTTGCTGGATGACATATGACCTTGAAAAATATCAACCGAAAGTGACCTTGACTAAACTGGAAGTAGCTATTTTTGCACTTATTTTATGGAAAAGTACCGAGAAACCATATATTTTTTAAATAGCCATTCACAAACCTATCATTTTAGACCGAAAATGACCATCAATAATCGGAAGTAGCTAATTATCTCCCTTATTACAGGCAAAAGTATATAGAAACCATATATTTTTGGAATCAGTGTAAAAACAGCTATCATATTAGACCGGAAGTGGTATTTTATAAACCGGAAGTTGGCAAATATCTCACTTATTTCAGGCAAAAGTATATAGAAACCATATATTTTTGGAATCAGTGTGAATAATGCTATCATATGAGACCGGAAGTGGCATTTTCTAAACCGGATGTAGCAAATTATACTCCTTATTTCAGACAAAAGTATATAGAAACCATATATTGATTGAATCAGTATGAAGAAATCTATGAATGGGCGCCAAAAATAACTTCGAATAAACCGAAAGTAGCTCCTTATCAGTTTCCCTTTCGATTGTGAGTAGAACTTCCTATATACCACCTAAAGTTTATGTGTGACTCGACAGTCTCAACTTTTAATTCCACTGCATTAATTCTGTGTCCTTTTAAACTAAGGTGGAAAGTTTTACACTAAATATAAAGAGATAATAATCTGGAATAATAGGATTCAAATCTTAATCTCTGTTGCTTATTGTTAACGTAAATTAGTATAAATAATCATAATTGGTTTATAACTAAGCTAAAGAAACGTTAATAGACTTGAATTCTACATTAATAAGAACGCAGGTCATATAGGTAAATAACTATAACGAGAACACAATTTTACATTTCTTTTTTTTGCTGACCATTTTAGCATAGGATGTTTGCATATAAAGAACACATCTTTTTTGTAATTGAAAATAAAAGATTTAATCAGAGACATATATACATAGAGTATATAAGTATGTCTCTGATATAATTTTGAAATATTTTAAACGTTTCTTCAACCATAGTTTTCGAATTATTAAAATAGTATAAATATAGACAACTAGAGCATATGTAGTGGTAGGAAACTAGAGTGAACTAATTCCCCTACAACCTAATTAAAATTCATATCTATATTAACTCGCATGCTTGTATATATAAGTATGAGAATAACGAAATCAGAGATATATATTTTAATTAGTGATTCCTCTAGTTCATTTCATTTAAAATTGTACAATTTTGAATATATGTTTTACATATTCAAGCATAGTTGAATATATATAAAATAGTTAAAATGTATTAGGGAAGATACATTTTCAGTAATTATTAATGTTAACTTATTTCACGTTACATGCTTTATTTTCTCTATTTTATACCTTCAAAAATTGTTTTGATATGTTTGTTTTATCCACTGTTAGTAATCTATTATAGAATTGAGAATGGAAACGGGGAATGTGTCAAGGGCAACAACCCGACCAAAGAGCAGAAAACAGCACAAGGCCACCAATTGGTCTTCAACGCAGCGAGATAATCCCGCACCCGGAGGCGGGCTTCAGCTGGCCCCTAAACAATAATGTATACTAGTTCAGCATGTTCTTCACTGTCTACATGTGTATTGTATTATGTCGTATGCGGTTCGTCTTGTAACACACATGGAGTGACATAGTGTACAATAAAATCTTAAATCTTGAAATACGGTTTATAATATTAACTATGATTAAGCGATCTAGGGATCACAAATGCCCCCGCTTGCAGAACAACTCTAAAACGATAAATGCCGGACAAAAATTCAAATGCAATATGACATGTATTCTATGTTTCATAGCATTGTGTTAAAATCTAAAAAGATTTTGTGATATGGGACTTTCAATACACCTTGCCGACTAGGCAGTTCAAAGAGCAGAATAGCTGAACAAACTGTCAAAAACAAACAGGTTGCCATGGACCTGCTAGGAGACAGCATACTCAACAGTAGTTGCATTCACAGATGGATATTGTCAGGGAAACGGCCAGGACCATGTTGGGTAGGAGACGTAGTATATTCTGGAAATAGCCAAGGGGTCGGCTTAAAGAGGCCAGTAGAGGATCAATACTACTGGCTGTACTGTTAATACTATTTGTTATCATCTGCAAAAAAAAAATGCAAGCACTTAACCCCAATAGGAACTAAGACCAAATGACACAGAAATTAACAACTATAGGTCACCGTACGGCCTTCAACAATGAGCAAAGCCCATACCGCACAGTCAGCTATAAAAAGCCCCGAAATGACAATGTAAAACAATTCAAACGAGAAAACTAACGGCCTAATTTATGTACAAAAAATGAACGGAAAACAAATATGTAACACATAAACAAACGACAACCACTGAATTACAGGCTCCTGACTTGGGACAGGCACATACATAAAGAATGTGGCTGGGTTAAACATGTTAGCGGGATCCCAACCCTCCCCCTAACCTGGGACAGTGGTGTAACAGTACAACATAAGAACGAACTATAAAAATCAGTTGAAAGAGGCTTAACTCATCAGATGGATAAAAATACAAATACTACAAATACAAGTGGACAAGGCCGGGTACTTGTACATCCAAACAACAATAAATATTGAGAATGGAAATGGGAAATGTGTCAAAGAGACAACAACCCGACCATAGAGCAGACAACAGCCGAAGGCCATCAATGGGTCTTCAATGTAGCGAGAAACTCCCGCACCCGAAGGCGTCCTTCAGCTGGCCCCTAAACAAATATGTATACTAGTTCAGTGATAATGGACGTCATACTAAACTCCAAATTATACACAGGAAACTAAAATTAAAAATGATACAAGACTAACAAAGGCCAGAGGCTCCTGACTTGGGACAGGCGCAAAAATGCGGCGGGGTTAAACTAAGTACAGATCTGAGAGTACTCGCAGTTACTGACAGCTAGTTCAAAGCCACTAACAACTAATAAAAAAGTCAATCCCTCACGCAATACTGTGAAACTGAAGAAGAAACATCCGAACATTTTGTTTTATATTGCCTAAGACACCAACCGGTACCACGTTAAGACAGGTGGGAACAATGAAAAACAGACATGAAATCAATATTGTCACCACCAAAGAAAGAAATTTACAAAGTAGAATCACAAATTGTAGGTGAATACATAGTAAGAATAGGACGATTTCAAGAGCTTAGTCCGATCCTGCGCATTCTCAAGTATCTAAGTACCACGAAAAATTACTTGGAGAAACAGTGTACTATATGAGGAAACCAAGAAATACCAAGAAAAAAGTTGTGTCAAGTTTTATCTTAGGATCAGGATCAATATTGAAATCTAAAAAATCAAAGTGGAGAATAACTCTTGATCGATAAATTTTAAAATAAAAAATCAAACGTGATCTTTTTTTTTTATTGTTAATGACATTGTATTCGATTTTTAAAAGATTTGGTAAAGTAGTACTCTTATCATCATCCAAGAATAAAAAAGATATTTTCATTACTTTGGAGCAGTAAATTCATCAAAATCAAACATGACCTGTATTTTATGGTTCATGACATGATGTTTAAGTCTAAATATATTGTCATGCGTTATTATCATTATCATCCTGAAATCAAAGAAAAAACAATTTCTACGGTTAGTAAGGGAAATAACTTAGTTAGCGATACTTTATACTTATTTGGAAATTACACTTTAGTCGAACGAACGGAAGGACGGACATGTGCACCACAATATACATCCTTCATCGAGGCGGTAAAATTATAAAAAAAAGAAGCGAGACAGACAACAACCATACGACATTAAAAAGGCGAAAGATCAATATACAGTCTTCAACAATAGACAATTGTCTATATACAATAAGTAAAGATGTGCATTGCCCAGAGTCTAGACAGGTAAACTGGTCCGCCATTCCATATAAAGCTCCGCCCCGAAGAAATAGTGATGCCATACCATGAATAAGTGAGTTTATGGTCATTTTATAACAAAAATTAGAAAAACTGACCGCGAGATTTAGGGCGTACCTGTTGTTAGTGTAGCGATAAGCGAATACAACAGGGGTTCAGTTAACTGTTTAAGACAGGTTGTGAATATTTATACGAGATAATCAAAGATCTGATATCAACATTAGATTCCCTAAACAGGAAAAAAATTAATTAAAATGCTACATTTGAAACCACTTACACGGTTTCTGAACAGGCACATGAACCTGTGATGTGTTAAACTATTTTTTGTTCTCTCGATATGAACCCTCTCCCTATTCTATCTCGATCAGTGGAATAACAAAAGGAGCATGACAAATGTACAATCAAAATCAGAACAGAAGCGCTCTCAACTCTATGACACGGATGTAATCCATACTTGTAAAACAATGACAGGTAAAAGCAAACATTAATTTTAAAACTTTATATCGTCGGCTGTAAATTAATTAAGATTTCACAATTCAACAGCAATGTCTATAATCATGCAGGGAGAATGATACTACACTGTAAAGAGCATTTTTTTCTATCCATTATTTTTTTTTTTGGGGGGATATATGTTGCATTTTTGTAAATTCATATCTACTCTTTGGTATTTATTTGTGTTTTCACTCATTCATTCAGTTTATTTACTTTACGAAAGATATGGGTTATGTCTCTGCACAATGGTAAATAGAAACAACGTGCAAATAGCTGAAAGGGAACCCCAAATGACTTACGCACAATTGACATTAAGTTCTTAAGTTTTTTTTCCTGTTTAAAGACTGATAAAAAGAAACACATAAAACATAGTAAGCACTTTAATTCTTTTATACAAAATAAATAAAATTGGCATGTCTGGTAAAATAATGCACTAGCTCAGTAAATTGAGAACATGCAGACTTTGTAAGCATACTCCCATTTAATCATATAATACACAGCTCATACGCTCGCTCCATGATCACAACTTCAACATTTCTTTTATTTCTGTAATAATATAAATAAACAAAACGAGAATAATTAGGTAAACATTAATGATACAGTAACCAAAACCATGAAGGCACCAACTCGCTTAAACAGAACACAGTAATGTTTTTAAAAAATGATTCGCAGTGTACATAATAAATATTTGAAATGTAAAATTTTAACTTACACGAGAAATATCTAACAGGATCAATAAAGATGAATAAGGGTGAATCCACATGTAGAACTACCAAAGTAAATAATCGGCAACGACTTTTTGTCTTATTTTTAGTCTTTAGTTCAAAATGGCGAATATTGGATTCAAGTTTACCCAAAAAAATATGGACCAATATTAATGCTCATTCTTAAAGTAAAAATATTCCATTTTAGTTATCTCCTTTTCATATATATCATCAAACTGTATTTTAGAATCTTGCCACGAGCTAGTTGTCCTTTTCTTGTCCCATCTTAGCACTTATAACACTCTTTTAATACATATATATTAATATAATATATATAGGAATCGAAAACCCCCCATTTTGTAAATTTTGCTAAGAAATTTTTGAAACGAACAACAGTGACGATTGACAACAATAACACTGGTCACCCACCCTTAAATATTTCCAAAATGCTTCCGGTACTTTTTAAAGTTGGTGATTTGCATGGCATGGGTAAAATTCGATCATTACAATAGCTGTATGATGCTATATTGACTTGGTATAGCTTGAATTTAAATAACGATATTCAATAGATAATTATCAATTTAATAACATGATGCAGAAAGCCTTTGGCTGGAAAGAAGTAATCTTCATTTATTGGTAAGAACTTTCTGATCTAGGCTGAATTTAAAAAGAAAAAAAAGAAATCTACAACAGTACACCGAGTTTAGATATACATTTTGTACACTTGAAAGTAAATTAGCTATCCTGTAATCTTGGTTTCTCGTACTAAAGGAAAGTTCAAATGAGTTTATTTGGTTTGTAATTAACGACATGAAATAGAGCTAGATTTGCTAATTTGTAATCGTATAATGAACGTTCAACGGTATCTGTAAAAAAGTTTAAAAAAAAAGGGAGGGTTTGACTGTCGAGTAGTGTATAATCCAATATTCGAATTTTAAAAACATAACATGTTAAAATTGCATTAAAACAATTACTCTTAAACTGGTGATGGGGATAACAAGAAATTTGCAGACATATCCATAGAAGGCGAGGAAAAACTTCGTGTTCTACTTTCAGCATTAATCTCATCTTCCCTAAATGACACACACTTCCTTAGTTTTCCTGTGCCCGAACTTTTCGGTAATCTATATGAACACTTTACATCAGATGATTGTTTCTCTTCCGATACTGATGATTCCGTTTCTGATGAATGAACAGAAGAACTACACACTGAACTTACTCCAGATTTCAATATAGATCTCACTTCGGATTGTTTATTTGAAGTATAATTTTCCTTTGCCTTGTCACTTTCAAGTTTAGTAGTACACAGAGAAAATCGCCTCTGAGTAAAACGTCTGTCGCTTGCACCTTCATGCCCATTTTTATTGTTGTGATTTACAATAGGCTTTGAGCTTACGATATCAACACTATATCGTCTAGGACGACTCACAACTCCATTGTCTTTCAGTTTAGGTTTTAATGTTGTTCCCGTTATATGCTTACTGGTATGCTGTTTGGTAGTTTTCGGTAGTGTATCCATTAATTGAATGGTTTTAACACTCCCTATCACATTATCTCTTCTCATGGCTCCTTTCTACATTGGAATAATAGTTCTTCTTTTTCTCTCCTTGCATTAAAACATGCCCATGAAAAGTTGTCTTAAATCTGAAAGAAAATTGTTTTAAAATCAATTGCTGGAGATGACATTTTTTAAAGCTGTTGTAAAATTTTACATTTAAAAATGATAAAAACAGACAGTTTCAATGTGTTCTTTTAGGACACAAAAATGCTTGTGAATATGGACACATCAAAATTCGAATAAAGACCTAATACACAGAATAAATATAACATAAAACATAGATTAAGGTAAACATGTATGGTTCAAATTGTTCTTTTTGAAAGCTACATCAATTTAAATTCATTTTCAATCGAACTTTATATGATATGGGAAAACATCTACCAAAATCTATGAAAAATATCTTCTCAAAATAAAAACGAACTCATTTCTATACAGATTTTAAATTGAAATGTTTTGTTCAATACACATCCAATTAAATTTTAAATAGCTGAAAACAATTACACCTTGCTTTCAAATGGACCGAATAACTTTACAAAAAATCAGTAAGTGCTTACCTACCATTTTCTACCGTCTTCTCGCAAAATACCTTTCCAACTGATGGAAGATGAAGGAGCAAACCAATATCTATAGTCCGACACGCCTCAACCTACTGTTCAAATTAATCACTAACATATGAAATCAGTGCATTGTTGATGTTTAAATATTCATGGATCTATTTAGGTGTATTTGTGATCGGATTAGCTATACCCAATACACATGACGGGCGGTGTTTATGTTAAAATAATTACCTGTCGTCTGAAAGGTCGTTCAACATAGTGAAAAATCCATTACTGATATGTTTAAAGTACTTTTTGTGGTGCGACAAGAGCCTAAGATACCATTCACGATAGATTTTTATAAGCTATCACAATTTCTTTTAAATCACTTTAAATGGTCATCCAACATGTCAGAAAATCTTTAAACTAACAACACTTTTGTAAATGTTTCCGATAAAACATACATTTCTACCTAACCTTTTGAACATTCGGTGATTTGCATTTCGAGGTTTGACGTCCTTCCAATTACGTGAACTTTGTCACAATATAAAGCTTAGTTTACATGTCTGCACAATTACCCACTGACGTGTAATAATCGGAAATATTAGAAGTAACAATAACATTTAATTATTTTAAAGGGTTCAAACACGGAACAATGAAAACAAAAAAACGAAACTAATTAAATTCGTGAGTTAAAAACGTTAATTGATATACAACAGTTATTTAATACAGTATGGGTCAAACGCAGCTTTCTTAACTTTCAGACCTAATCACCAGTAATTTAATTTTCATTTCGTCTTCTATAGTTTAAAGAAATGTGATCAACTAGCGCAAATTGATTTGAATACTTAACATTATTTATGTGTATTCGCACTAAGGAAACAACGGATCTTAAAACTACGGCCTATAACAATATTCATAAACATTTATTAAAATATTCCTGATTGAAAATATACATTATAACCATATTTTATTTTACATCTCTTAAATGAAGTCTACATTTGATGTTGCGAGCTTTCATCACATCAACACAGACTCAAAAAGTCAAATTCAGACTTTCATAAAGCCAAGACTGGAGATATCTATAGAATATCTCTATTAAAATGTTTTAAAATAGCACTCACTGTGACAGTAATACATATAGCCCTAAATTGCATTTCGGTTTTATTGATATATGTAAAGTAGTTGAAAAATCTTAAAAGTATTCAAACTGTTTTAGGTTTTGGCAAATTTCTAGTTTTTATCGTCTGTGTGAAATATAATTGGTGTTTGTTAAATTTTTAATAAGAAATGTGTCGTCATTTTGATGAATAAATACCGGCAAAAATATCCATTAGACATGAAGATATACAAAAAAGCTGACAACGTACAGGGATAACATTATAGGTACGCTGCATTTTAATGTAATATTCATATCTGCATGTAAACATTATGTTACAAACATAGTTGAGCACTTTTTGACACCTTAAACTCGAAAATCAAAGAGTATTATAAATCTTATAAATAACATCCTCCAGATGTTCATCAGATATTAGTCTTTCGGATATCAAAAAATCCCAGGTATAAAACGAAGGACGACATGACGTACTGTGATTTTATCACTCGACTGTTTAATTAGGCGATACCATTGGTACTTTTTAATTTTCAGTTCCTATAGATCACAGCTTACACTTCTTATATTCTAAAACGATTGTTATCCTTTGTAAAACGGTTTCATTACAAATTGAATTCATTTTGCGTATACTATTGCACCCACTGTCGACCTATTGTGTAGAATATTAGTAAGATGCCGTAAAACTTACAAGCACATAACTTTAAAATTTGCTATGCGTATCACATAAAACCCTTTCTTCTTGTATAACATTTGAAAAAATCAGACAGCAACAATAAATCAGTGCTTGTTATAAGTATTTTTTTTTAACAGATCACTCCAAAGATATGTATATGTATAGTGGCATCCTTTACGACAGACAAAACAGCTAATCTGAAAGGTACACCATCTACTTGCCACTATACATCATGTACTGTGTTGCAACCCTAGATAAAGCTGACGAGGAAAGGCATTACTCTTATAAAGCATAACATTGTTGGGCTAAATTTGAGACGAATTATATATATTTATGGTGTTAGACTTGCTTAACCACAGCTTACCCGATGGAGAATGTCTTTCAAAAAGTTGTTACATGTATAAACATGTCTAGCGCCCTAGAACATTCGACCAATTATGCTATATAAGAAGATAGCAATCGTTAGTCGAGTAATGCCTTTCCTCGTCAGCTTAATCTAGGATTGTTACACAGTACATGATTTATACAAGAGGAAAGGGTTAGATCTGCAAAGGAGTAGACCCGGTAAGAACCCTTTTTGGCCCTAAAATATAGCAGTTTTACAAATTTGTTGAAATATAAACTTTTGGCTATTCATTGGAAAGTAAAATTGAGAATGGAAATGGGGAATATGTCAAAGAGACAACAACCCGACCAAAGAGCAGATAACAGCCGAAGGCCACCAATGGGTCTTCAACGCAGCGAGAAAATCCCACACCCGGAGGCGGGCTTCAGCTGGCCCCTAAATAAAAATGTGTACTAGTTCAGTGAAAATGGACGTCATACTAAACTCCAAAACATATAAATGAACTAAAATTAAAAAAATTGCCAACAACTGGTTTTAGAATAAATGTACTTTTGTTCCATAAATATGGGCTGCTTTTTGGCAAAACAATGCACATTCATCAGGGTTCTAGCAAATTAAATTCATGCAAAATTACTGAAATCTTCACAATTTTAGCATTTGTGCTAATTTTAAGACTTTTTTTGTCTAAATTGGAAGTGGCCGCATTTGTATTCAGTCTTAATATTCAAATATATGTTGTATTTGATGATAGTACATAACATGCATAAAGATTGAGACTGAACACGAATGCGGCCACTTACATTTTAGACAAAAACTATCTGAAAAGTGACGTTTTATGGCATATTTGATAGATTTTTCTTATTTAAGCTTGAATTTGAGCGTCTTTAATGACCAAATCAATTCAAATCTTTTACATATACTAATTGAATCGACTGAAGTAAACACTTAAGTGTTTAAAAAATGTCAAAAAACTTTCATCGAATGTACTTCGAATTTTAGGCCAAAACCCGCTGCATTTGTTTGCACCTGTCCTAAATCAGGAACCTGATGTTCAGTGGTTGTCGTTTGTTGATGTGGTTCATAAGTGTTTCTCGTTTCTCGTTTTTCATATAGATTAGACCGTTGGTTTTCCTGTTTGAATGGTTTTACACTAGTCATGTTTTGGGCCCTTTATAGCTTGCTGTTCGGTGTGAGCCAAGGCTCCGTGTTGAAGGCCGTACTTTGACCTATAATGGTTTACTTTTACAAATTGTGACTTGGATGGAGAGTTGTCTCATTGACACTCATACCACATCTTCTTATATCTACTTACCGGACCTTCTCCTTTGCGTTATCAAGTTTTTGTTCTTCCCTCAGCGGGATTCGAACCCTTGCTTCTGTGACACCGTGGCAAATCCACCTGAATTGTGTCCAGTGCATTTTTTAAAACTCTATAAGGACCTCTCGACCAACAAGGCTATAAAAGTATAGTTTTCGTTAGTTGAGTAATGACTTTTTTCGTCGGTTTCATCTAGGGTTGTAACACAGTACATGATGTGTAGTGGCAAGTGGTGTACCTTTTAGATCAGCTTTGTTTTGTCTGTCGTAAAGGAAAATAATGTTACTAACCATGTCGCCACATCAAATTTTAATTTTATCGCATTCGTCTAAACATGACAGACATTCTCCAATTAAATATACTAGTATAGCATTTGCATGGTCGAAAGGTAGATACCTCTATTGACTGTGACGGGATTGATTTTTGTTTAAGCCCTTTTGGATTTATACTCTAAAATGTTTTATGTTATTGGCATTCCTGACTTTTGATTTCGAGTCTACCTGGTAAAGGATATTCCCTAAACACTTGTCGTACTCACGGACTACTGTGGCAATCAGTGATATACTCTTTCTTCAAGTGTAAATGTTTTCGAAGAAGGCACCTATTCCCAATACAATTCACAACGAACAAATGGGATCATCTTTGATTTGAAAATTACTGAAAAACATTTGCACAGATTTATCAGTCAGAGCGTGGCAAATTTGATTTCTAGTAGAAACCCAAATTGAAAAAAAAACAACAACCAAACCATTATCCAGCTTTACTACAAGCCAGAACCATGCGTTTTGGGATTTTGTCTTCAGGTTTAATAGACTGCTTTTCAAACAAAGTAACGAAGTGTAATATCTTATCGTTCTAAAATGGTTTTTGTGTTTTATTTAAAAATCAGAATTAATCAAATATTTGTCTGTTTGTATAGTACCTTACAAGGAATTTATATCAAACATTTTCAAGAGGATTATTTAAATTTTGTCGAAACATGTTTACTCTCAGATTAAAATAATATACAAATCTATCTTTACAAGCAAGACCATTTGTTTTTCTTGTTTTGGATTTTCTTTTTTAAACTCAATTGCCTGTGTTATAAAGATAGGTAGTCATCTTTACCAATATATTTGCAGTTTTCTGGTGAAGGAGTCTGACATTACAACTTTTTAAAGGTTTATTTGTGAACTTTGAGGTTTTAACAACATATTATAACCATTCCTTTTTTAAAGTCTACAGATAAAAGTGATAATATTCTACAACCAAACTTACTCACTCCGTACTTACTGCTCAAAATGGATAAAACGAGAAAAAGCTGACAAAAAATCCTTAGATTCTTTTTTTAATTCAGTAATAAACATAGTTGATATTCGTATTAAACATTTTAAAGAACATTTTACTCCTAACAACAACCATAATAGCCCTATTTCTCGTATCAAACATATGCTAAAAAAACTTGCCAAGGAATTTGTTTTTGTTCCGGCTGATAAGGCTGCTAATAATATCATTATTGTATGACGTAAATTTTACACTGAGGTTCTGCAAAAGGAAATCACAAATTCACCAACATTCCAACTGACTCCATTTTCGGAAAATGACATCTGTAACAAACATAAACTTTTAGCTACCTCTTTACAAGCAGAACCAAATACAATGAAAGTTCCAACTATGTACTGGCTTCCGAAGCAGCACAAAACACCTTACAAATATAGATTTATTTCGTCTTCAAGCCATTGCTCCACTACTAAACTGTCTAATCTACTTACTAGTACACTTGGTACAACAAAAACCTGGTAATAAATTGTTCAA